CATATAACTTCCACTTTGCCTTCAAGCTCAGCTTGAAAAATATGAGTTTCAACATCTGTAAAAATGGAATTAATAATACTGCTTCATAAGTTTGTTGAGATAATGTATAAAAATCAGTCAGCACAGAGCATGGCACAAAATAAGTATTAAAGAGTGATGTTTGTTGCAATGGGTTGAATGTGTCTCCAAAGGTTCATGTATTGGAACTTAATACCCACTGTAACAGTGTTGAGAGTGGGAAATCTTCTCATGGTAATTGAATGGTGCGGCCTTAAGGAGGTGATTAGATTTGAGAACTGTATCCTCGTGAATGGGTTGATCCACTCATGGAGTAATAACTCGATGGTTTAATGGTTGGTACTGGGCGTGGTTCTGATGACTTTAAAAGAAGAGCAAGTGAGGAGGTCAGCTCTCTTGCTCATGCTGTCTCTTGCCATGTGATACCCTGTGTTGTTGTGAAGAGTCACCACCAAGAACAAGGCCCTCACCAGATGTGTCCTCTGGACTGTGGACTTCCCAGCCTCCAAAACTAAGAAATAAATTCTATTTCTTTATAAATTACCCAGTTTCAGGTATTTTGTTGTAAGTAACAGAAATGGACTAATATAGCTGTAGTGGTATTATTACCATTAATCATTTCCTTCTTTAGAAAGTCTTCTCTGACCCTTGAACTAGGATTAGTGTTCCTGGATAAGTTTTTTTTTTTTCTCTTTTCTGTGCACTGACATGAAATAACGCTTACCTTGGATGTGGGAGTTATTTGTGTATTGAATACTTGCCGTACTAGGTAAACATTTTCTGAAAACAGTGATTATCTTATTTATCTTTGTGCCACAAGCACCTGGAACAGTGCCTGGAACATAGTTGGTAGGCAATACATGTTAGGTGGAACAGTAAATTGAGTTTAGGAAGCAACATTGGAGGAAGAAAAGGAAAAGTCCAGACTCCACCCCATTCCTCTATTCCCCTTCAGAAAAATTTAAAAGGTCATGGTAGTCTGGAGTGTTTTTTTGTTTGTTTGTTTGGTTATTTTATTTATTTATTTATTTTTTGCATTTTTCTCTACTAAATCATATTCATTATTCAAACCTCTCTAGTTTGTTCATCTCCAAGTCACCAATGACTTTCATGCTGTGAAATCCAATGGGCTCTTCTCTCTTTCATCTTAGTTAACTTCCTTTGCTCAACAGATGGTATTATTCTCTTCTTGAAAAAATATAGCTCTCTTGGAATTCATTGCATCAGATGACTGTGCTAGTCCAATGCAATTTTCATCCTACCTCTCTGAAAGTTTCTTCGTATTCCTCTTTGTTAGAACCTCCTCCATTAAACAACACCTAAGCATTAGAGTGTCTCCAGTATTGGTATTAAGCCCTTCTCACTATCTACATTATCTCCCTAGATGATCTCATCCAGACCCATGGCTTTAAATTTTATATCTCCACTTGGATGCCCAAACAGTATATCAAACTTAATCAGCCCAAATCAGAGCTCTTGATCCTCCTTCAACACATCTCACTCCATTTTCCCCATCTTCACCATTTCAGTTAATTTTGCCACCATCCACCACCAGCAAGAGTCACCCCTGATTCCTCTCCCCCTCATATGCATCCTATCTATCAGCAAGTCCTCCTATTTCTTCTTCCAAAATACTTAATCTATACTCAATCCATCTGCTTCTTTACATTTCCACTGCCAGAACACTTAACCTTTTACCTGTATTTCTGAAATGGTCTCATAACTAGGTAAGCCTTACTCTTGCTTTCCTAAAATTAATTCTGCACAACTAGATAAAACCAAACCATTCTCCTACTTGAACCCTGTCATAGCTAACTACTTCACTTAGAACGACATATCGGCTCCTCACTAGGGCTGAAAGAATGAAGCCTTGTCTACTTTTCTGACTGCATTTTACGCTGCTATCTTCCTCACTCAATAATCTTTCTCCATGTTAGCCTTCTTTCTAGATTCTACCTTCCAGGAAAACCTAACTTTTCCCCACCTCTGTCAGGAACACATTTCTCCAGACCCTTTGAATAATTGGCTCCTTCTCATTATTCAAGAGCCAGTTCACCTGTTATTTCCTCAGAGAACTTCTCTGACCACCATTTCTAAAATAACACATCACCTGTCACACAGGTGGATCCCGCCCCCAGCGTTTCCGATTCAGTAGGCCTGGGGTGGAGCCCAAGAATTTGCATTCTTACAAGTTTCTAGGTTGTGCTAATGCTGCTTGTAAGAGGACCATACTCCGAGAACCTCTGCTCTAGCATATCACTTCTCTTACTTCCTTGATCACATTTATTGAAATCTGAAAATACTTTGTATAATTGTTTAGAAATAGTACAAATTGTCTAAAGTGAGGGATCTCATTTGTCTTATTAGTATCATATGCCCAGCATTCCTGGCACACAAAGGTACTCACTAATATTTTGAGTAAAACTGATTGATGATCAGTTTTATAATAGTTTTATTATTTGGTTAACTAGGCCTACGGCATGATGTCATCAACTGAGAAGAAATGTTCTTGCAGAAAAGGGAGTTCAATTTAGAATTTCTTGTATTTAATTTCCCTGTCGAATATCTAGATGAAAATATCCAGAAGGCGTGGGAATATCTAAATCTAAAACTTTTCAGAGAGACCGAGGTGAAAAATATCTTTGTTTACAAAACAATAAAGAAATGTATTGACAGGGAGTGGTCTCTTTTTAGCTTGATATTTTTTCATAAGTCTTGATTTTTGCCATATTATTCCCAATCAAATCATTTATGAAATCTTTTGATTTGCTTGATGTGAGGGAGGGAGACTAGATTTATTCTATTTTATCTTAAATATGCTCTCTAGTTTGCTAGGGGAAAATAACAGATGAAATAAAAAATTTGAGACATGCATAGGTGAAGGTAAACTTAACTTTGAAGCTGAAATTTTTGAAGGGAGACATACTGACTTTATATTGGAGGTATGTTTTCACTTGCAAAATTGTTTTAAAAAGTATTTCAATATACTATCATGAATGCAAAAGACTTTATAATAATTTTTTTTGTTCTATATAGCACATTATTATTCCAATTGTATAAATCTGGAAACTAAGATCAAACTTAAATAGCAGAAATAAATGAGATGTGTTATAGCAACATGGGTGAATTTTCTCTTAAATTATCTGAATACAATGGAGCTAAAAAGGTATAACTGCCATTTTTTAAACATATATACAAACTCATATAAAGCACAGGAACTAGTGAATGTGTTGACATGACTATACAAAATGCAGTGAAATAACTAATAATCAAAAATAACTCCACCAATCAGGTTGTTTGACTTGAAAAAAATAATATCTGGCTTATTGATATATAGCTTGTATAAAACTAATCATCTCTGAAATTTCATAGTGTATGAACATAGATATGAGAAATTATCAAGCAGAAGTTACTTGTTCTTTAAGAAGCTACAAATATCTACATGCAAAATAATGAATCTAGACACAGGTCCTATGTTCTTTCAGGAAGAAATTATTCAAAACAGATCACAGACCTAAATGCAAAAGGCAAAATCATAAAACTCCTAGAAGACAATATAGGAAGAAATCTACATAACCTTGCATTTGGCAAAGACTTTTTAGATACCATGGCAAAGGCATAATCCATAAAAGAAAGAGTTGATAAACTGGATTCAATAAAATTAAAAATTTTTCATCTGTGAAAGACACTATCAAGAGAATCATAAGACAAGCCACAGACCGGGAGAAAATATTTGCCAAAAACAGACTGATAAAGGACTGTCATCCAAACTATACAAGGAACTCTTAAAACTCCATAATAAGAAAACAAATAATCTGATTAAAAAATGGGCCCAAGACCTTAACAGACACTTCAGCAATGAAGATATACAGATGGTTAATTAAGCATATGAAAAGATACTTTACATCACATGTCATCTGGAAAATTCATATCAAACAATGAGATACTACTACACGTCTATTAGAATGGCCAAACTCCACACCACTGACAACACCAAATGCTGGTGAGGATGTGAGCAACAGGAACTCTCATTCATTGCTGGTGGGAATGCAAAATGATACAGCCACTGTGGAAGACAGCTTGGCGGTTTCTTACAGAACTAAGCACACTCTTACCATAGGACCCAGCAATCCCACTCCTTGGTATTTACCCAAAGGAGTTGAAAATTTACGTCCACACAAAAACCTGGACACAGATGCTTCTAGTAGCTTTACTCATAATCGCCAAAACTTGGAAGCAACCAAGATGTCCTTCAGTAGGTGAATGGATAAACTGGTACATTCAGACAACGGAATATTATTCAGCACTAAAAAGTGAGCTATCAAGCCATGAAAAGAATGGTGAAACTTAAATCCATATTACTAAGTGAATGAAGGCAATCAGAAAAGGCTACATATTATATGATTCCAACTACATGACATTCTGGAAAAGTCAAAACCATGGAGACAATAAAGGATCAGTGGTTTCCAGGAGTCAGGCAGGAGGAAGGGATGAATAGGCAGAGTACAGAAGATTTTTAGGGCAGTGGAACTAGTCTGTCTGATATTATAAGAGATACATGTCATTATACTTTTGTCTAAACCCATAAAATCTACAACACCAAGAGTGAACCCTAATGTAAACTATGCTCTTTGAATGATAATGATGTACCACTGAAGGTTCATCAGTTGTGACAAACATACCTACCACTTGGTGGGAGATGGTGATAACTAGGGAGCCTCTGCACATGTGGGGGCAGGGGAAATATGGGAAATCTGCACATTCCTCTCAATTTTGCTGTGAACCTAAAACTGCCCTAAAAATAAAGTCACTTTACATATGCTTCCAAATCTTTATTTTGCTCTTCACTTATTTGTATAAGGGATCTGTTCAGATCTAATTAGTGCAGTTCCGGAGGACATTTTATTACACAAATTATGAGAGTAAAAAATGCAACTCATTTAGGACAAGGCAAGATTTTGGGAAGAAATAGAAACAATTACCTGATGTTCCTCTCAACTGCTGCTCTGTAAGATCATCATCACAGGCCCTGGCTCCCAAAGAGGCAGTTTCTGCAGAGGACATCAGAGTGAAAGGTAATCAGCATGCCATATCCAGCTCTGATAGCATAGCCAATATCACAAGAACCCAAGAGATAAGTATCATGTGGAGCTTGGTAAGTCTCTAGCACACCTTATATGTTAGTGAGCAGTGGTTGACAAAATGAGTCCAGGGAGTGATAGGTTGAGATTTAATTCTTGTTGACAGCAGCAAAGAACAAATACAACAGCATAGATAAAATATGGAAATAATTTTTACCTTTTGGCTATTTGGTCAAGCCTGCATTACAGAATTATATATTATAGTGACAATGGCACATAACATAAATTATAAGAATACTTTTACTTCTCTCACAAGAAACAAAAAACTCACTATATAGCTGATCCAAGAGACCAAAGTCAACATTAGGCACTTGTGGAAACCTGAAGAATAAATCTAAGTCATCAGTAAATCCATATCTTTATTCTCCTTTTTATTTGTGCTCCAGAGCACAACAGTGTCCTGATTTGCTAAACGCAACCCCAGACACAAATCCTTACTTTCACCTGACTGTATTCTTCTTTTTTGTTCCCTGTTGTAGGGAAATCTATTAAAAAACAACTAGACCTCAGAAATCGCCTTCAACACTTCCTTCTTTCTCCACCCCGAGTCATCAAATGTTGTTGATTCTGATTTACAGTATTTCTTGTCATGTGTCTTTCTCTATTTTCTCTGTCATCTTCTCTTTCCTGACAATTTCAATAACATTTACAACAATGCACCTTCCTCAAATTCCTCTTCTTTCCAATCTAAGCCCTCATAACATCTCAAGAGTTATTGTTTAAGAATTCAGAATTCTGAGTACAAATCACGGCTCCACCCCTTCCTATGTATGGGACCTTGGGTAAATTACCTAACCTCTCTAGGCCTCAGTTTCCTCATTTGTAAAATGAAGATATAATAATATACATAATCAATAAATGTAAGAAAGAATACTTAATACAAATAAAGGTACAACGTGATATAGTCTCCAAAGTCAGAAAAGTCCAGATATTATTGAGAAGTTAAAAAAGTTGTCACACGATTCTGATACTGCCAAAGAGAATCATGTTTATCTAATATTTCTAGGCAATCACATCTGTTTGATTTGGAAGGCTTTAATTAAACAAATAATTAACCTTGAAAATAGAAGTGAACATCAGGCAATATTATTGCATTTACTAATTGTTTTTCCTGCTGCGTACAAAACCTTTGGCCTTTAGTGGTAATCTATTTAAAAACAATACGATCAGAATAAACACTCCCCTCCCTGCTGCAAACAAAATAAACCATTATGTTTTATTGTAATTGTATCTTAAATTAGCCTTGAAAGAAAGAATTTATCCTCAGTCCTTGCTTATAAATCCAGGAGCAACTTCCAAATAGATCATGGCCTTGATGTACATGCAATATGTCACTTAAGAAGCCCACCTTCTTCCTCTTGGCCACATCTCATGTCTTTATGCTTCCATCAGTGTTGTTGCTTTGACTTTAAATGCCTTTTTTGTTCTTCTCCTTTAAACCTCCCATTCTTCCCTCAGCAGAAAAAACAAGTGTAGCTTCTCTGTGCTCCTGTAGCAATTGGCTTATATGTTTCAGCACTTATAATGTATTGTGATAATTTTTTACATGATCCATGCATATTTCCTGAATAAATTGTGAGTTCCTCAAGAGCAGTTTTTCATCTTCATAGATTTTCAAGTACAGAGTAAGACATACCAAAGTCACCTAAGACACTTTTATTCAAAATACTAATCTACACCCTATATCCTGAAACAGATGAGTCTCAAGATCAGAATTTTATAAAAGCTTCCTAGAGCCTCAGGACTCTAAATTCAAAGCTCTGTCAATTATACCAAACACATATAATAATCCCCATTACATATATAAATGTGTGTGTGCATAAAACTAACTCTTTCCCTCTTTTAAAGAAAAAAAAAATTATCAAAGAATCCTTACAACTCCATTCACACACACACACACACACACACGCACACACACACACACACACACACACACTTTAATGTATCATATGGACTTGTTCAAAATAGATAGTAGTAGTACTTAAGTGAATTTGACCAAATGACAGAAAAAAAAAATTATCAAAGAATCCTTACAACTCCATTCACACACACACACACACACACACACACACACACACACACTTTAATGTATCATATGGACTTGTTCAAAATAGATAGTAGTAGTACTTAAGTGAATTTGACCAAATGACTGCTACTCCTTAAATATTAATGACAATTAAAACAATGATAAATGATTGAGTTTATATCTCTGCCAAGTACTTTTTATTTGCATAAAAACAATCATGTAATCCTCATGATAAAATCATGAGGCAATCATTAATCCTTATTTTACAAATCAGTTGACTGGGGCTTAAAGAGGTTATGGTAATTTACCCCAGGTCACAAAGTTAGAAACTGACAGAGCCTGGAATGAAACTCTTTTCTGTCTGGTATAAAAGTCTGTGAAATTTAAGATGTATCCAGTTGTAATACCACTCTATGTGGGAGCCCATAAAGGTTTTCCTACTCTTAGGGCCAGAAACCAAGTAGAAGGATTTAAAAAAAAAAAAAAAAGAAAGAAAAAAGAAAAGAGAAGAAAGCAATTTTTACCGATCCTGTGAAAATTCTGATATTTTATAAAACATTTACACTCCTTGAATATAAAATGCAACTAAATAATATTTGATGACACATTGAAATCATTTCTTTTGATAGTGATTTAAGAAAATGTACAAAGTGTCAAAATCAGAAATTATTACTTAATCTTATAAATTAGATCATGTGCCACACTTGGGGACTGTTCCAATGAGAGCTACTTGTGCAAATAATGTCATAAAGGACTGTAGTTCTGTAGGCCACAGAATTCTTTCTAGATGCTCAAAGGTGTTGCTCCCTTTATACAAATGGTATAAATATTTTAATAAAGGAGACTTTTACTTATCAAAGGAACTGATTAATCTATACTTTTCTGCCTGTATACAATGAAAGGTTTAAAACCTAGTAATGATACATAGCATATTGCAGTATTTCACTTAAATAATTGCTCTGTAATAACAAATCTGCTGTTAACACAATCTGTCTCTTTTGCTGGTCATTTAACTAGATTACTAATTTGTTTTCTGTAGCACCTGACCTTTCTTGTGTAATATTATTTAAAAAATAATACCATTTACTTAGTTTATCCAGTATTCTACTCTATCTTGTCAATTGGTGATGATTACACATTTGAAAATGGTACCAAATTACTCTATATTTATTAACACAATGTGGGAGTGATCAGCAGCATTTTCTGTGGAATAGTATATTGATCATCACAATCACCATCACCAACAACACTTCACAGAATATTTGCTCTGTGCCAGGTACTGATTGATGCCCTTTCTACGCATTGTGACACCCCTAGCAAGTTTTGGAGCTATAACTTGAGCCCACACAGTTTTAACTCAGGGATAGTTCTCTTAACCACAATGAACCATGTTGAACCACGTTTTAAAAATCCTAAACGTTTTCCTTTTGATTCGGAATTATTTCTAATGGTTTTTTGTTGTTGTTGTTGTTGTTTTGCTTTTGTTCTTCTTGAATTTATTTTTAATTGAAATGTATTGATTGTACATATTTATGGGCTGCAGTTATATTTTAATACATACAATGTGTAATGATCAAATCAGGGTAATTAGCAAACCGATCATCACAAAAATTTACCCTTTCTTTGTAATGAGAATATTTGAGCCTGAATTTTGCTAATCACCCATATGCTTAGCCTCACCCACAGTTACATCTACAAAGACAAAGCTTAGTGCCTAAATGTTTAGGGTTTCTATTCTTCTTAACTGTGAGAATGAATGTTATCATAACTCTTTCTCTCATTACTTATAAGCCTATCCATCTCATTACTTCTTTTTACCTTTCCCTTCCATTATATGAATAACATTTATTCTAGTATATAAACTGGTAACTCTCAGGCATTTAATCTTCGTTCAAAAATCATGAAGTTCCTATCTGGCAGATCTCCTGCCCTGCCCCCAACTAACTGGAATAACAATTTTTGAAAACTATAATCAATACAAATCTCATGGTCAGAGAAAGATCTGAAATTTTAATTTTTTTTGACAGTTTAGATATATATGCAGAGGATTCTAAGTTTAAGATTTGGGAATAAATGTAATCTGCAATTGATGACTGCAACAGCCATGTGCTTTTAATATTCTTATCAGCAAAATTTGGGAAACATTCAGCAAAAGTTCAGTGACAACTGGAAATTTTAAAATAATGGGTGCCAAGTATAATACTAAGATAGTATTTGTCCAGAAAACATCCACATCTCATCCCCTTTCACTAATTTGCTAATGCATTAAACAATAAACTATATCAATATTTTTAGTAAAATATTTAGCACATAAAACAAAATATATACCACCAAACAGAGTAAATATTAAGCCAACTGGTCTAAAATAATAAAGAGAAAGAAACACATTTTCTGTAATACTTGGTAACATTTTGAATCCCATTTTACTTGTATCCATTAAGATAAGTCCACTTCTTTTTTTTAATTGAAGAATGAGACTAAATAGTAAAATAGAACCCACAAATTTGAAACACCCTTCACTCTACAACCCTGCTAGCCACTCCTGCCTTCCCATGAAATCTTTTGGAGACCTGCCCACCTCTACTGAAGCGACGTGACTCATGTAAAATGATACGTTAGAGACTGTGAATACAAGAAAAGGTATTTGCTGCTCTTTAATTTCAAAATAGTAAAAATTACCATTTGCTGGAAATCTATTAAGTGCTAGCTAGGCATGTGATGTGCATTTCCCTACTCAATCCTCACAGTAATCTGTAACAGAAAAAAAGAATTGCTTTTATGGAAGAGATGACATATCAAGGTTCAGACAGTTTAATTTTTTCCAGAGGCACAGAGAAGCAGAAGTAGAGTTTGGACTGTTCTCACTACAAACCTCTGCTCTTCT